TAATGGTCGATTTACACGATCTTTTATTTTATTTTTTTACCATAATAATATTTTAACTTTTCAAGTATTTATCTCGAGCTACCAAATTCATTTTAAAAGCTTCATTTAATTTATATTGAGTCATTACTTTGGACACTAAATTCTATTTAGGTTAAAGAAATTGTCAAACTGTCGAAATTTATGGAGGGCGGACCTGAAGTTGGTGCTAGGTTCCTGCTCTAATGCTTGTGGATATTTATACTACTACGGACCTGAAGTTGGTGCTAGGTTTCTGTTCTGATGCTTGTGGAAATTTATTCTACTACTGGCCTTTTAATATAAACTAAAACGATAACATTAAAAAATCCCATTAAAGACAACCTCCATTAAAAATGCTAATTGGTACTTTAGTAGAAACCTAGTCTTTTTGTTTTTGTCATCTTCATTATTAAATAGTCCTTGAGACAGACACGGGTCTTGTGTTACAGTTTGTCAGTATTGTTTGGAATAATCCTGAAAAATGACGAGCCAAGAAAAGAATATCAACTCTGAAATTTATACGCCACATTTCAAGCTTTGTTTTTTACAACGTCCGACAACAGCTACCATTAAAATGTTGATGTTAGTTCACAGTTTGCTTATATGCAAAATGTTCAACGTACACTGATTCTCAGTATAATTTTAAACACTTAATTAGGACAAAATTAGAAACCGAATCATAATATGCATGATGGAAAAAGTTATCTAATAAAACTCTTGTTCAATACAGAAAAAAAGCATGAGTAAAAAACTCCCATCAATAATAGCTCTCATCTGGCTAGAAATGTACAACACATGTTGATCGTGAAAATACTACATTATTTAGTTCATTCCAAAGTTAAAACATGGACATGGTAATATTAAATCTCAAGTGCCAGGTAGCAGTGGTTATTTTGAATATTCGTACATACTTAGAGCGACATACTCAATACAAGCATTGTTACTTAAATATACTTTACTCCAACAACGTTCCTCCTGTCACGAATAACTAGTAACCATATGTCACTATCTCAGTCCTTCGTGACGCTCTGTCTTAATAATGAATTGAAGCATGTTAGGGAATTGTAACTCAAGAAAAATAAAATAAAAAATCGGGGTTCCGGATTTCATCAATTGACTCTGTACTGTTGGCATTTCAATAGCTGGAATACAACTATTTTCAACAACAAACCAACTTTCCTACCCCCATGTGTCCGTCTGTAATTGATGTTTCTGAGGTAAACTCCTTGGCCAAATTATGCTCAAGTTACTCACACAGGTACACACGCTCATGGTACATTTACTATGGCCAACTGGGTATTTTGGACGATGATCATATACAACATTTCTGTAATTGTGGATTTTGAATACCAAGTTTGATTAATCACGCTCATTGTCATTTATGACCTTTAACCCAATCGCTGCCATTTTTTTAGATACTCAACTCTCCAAGTTTCAGGTCTGTTTTTAGATACACACAGAACCACGTGTGGTGTTACCCGTATCTTGCTCATTGCTTGTCATATAAAAATTGAGTTTTTTAAAAGAATATTTTTTTGAAATATTTCACAAATTATTAAATGTTTTCAAATTGTAAGAAGTATTAAGCAAAATAATTATTTGGGCATTCATTTTTTAAACTTGAAAATTTATTTTTAAAGTTAAATTAACACGTCCGTCAGGAGCCAAGGGGTGTTTTTACACTACAATTTGTTGAATATTAAAAGTAATTTCAATCCGAAAACTCCCAAAGAGGGCGGTTTTGGACGTATCTTTTTGAGACAAGTTTTTGTTTGTTAATTGATAAATATTTATGTGAAATACAGCATCCTCAAGTCTCCATACTAGCTAGTACTAAGGTCTACTCGATGGGAGTAAATTCAATATATATCAATAAAGCCATATTCTCAGCATCATTAATTAAGCAACTGCCAACTCTTTTTTTTGCTTCTGCTATCACCTTTTTATGTTTAGCTTTCCATTGAGATATGAACGATTTCACATGCGATTCGGTAGGGAAGGTCGAAGCATCACGATAGTCAACAGCAGGATGAGCAGACAGGAACACATTGAAAGCAGCTACAGGCATAATATTGTACTCGGCTTGCTGCACAATATCTATTAACGGTTCCTGAATACCTCCGCGTGTCATTTGGAGACTTCCATGCTTCTTGTGCTTGGCCGTTAAGCTCGTGATGCGCTGACGGATTTCAGTCACTTGACCACTCCAAATCACTTTTCCCCAATGCTAAAAGAGTGCGGGAAATGCCTTCTTTTTAGCCAATAAACATGTCCAAAAAATTTCAGTTCAAATTACGAAAAACCGGATTGGGTAGTTTTTTGTTTCAATAAAAACGTCCCCCACTGGCTCGTGAGGGGACTGTAAAAATTAACGATTTTACAGCATACCCATTTCTCAGAACAGTAACTTAATATGTCATTTTTCAAGGCTAAAACAAATGTTGAACAGTGGCAGTACTCTAAAGGAGGCATATATGTGTTCATAGCAGTGAAAGGGTTAAGGTAAATTACAATATATCTAGCTGGTGCAGAATAAAATTATATGATTTGTAAAATTCGTTATACATTTTATACTAAATTTATGCCTGTTTCGCAAAACCAGAAATCAATTACTATTTTTTTTCTCTTTTTTTATATCAATGTTAATTTAATGTTATTTTAACAGGTTTGGCGGTTGAACAAATGATTATCTCTACTATATTTTATAAGAAATGACTTGCATATCTCAAATTTGTTTTTTCCAATCGTACGAACTAACATTTTTGTTAAAACATATTCATGATTTTAATTTCTGTGAACGCTTTCTACGAAACGGGCAAATATGTGATTTCAAAATATTATCTACACAAAAGCAATTTCCACGAGATTATTCACGTAAAACATTAATAACTAATACAGTAAGCGTTAAGAGTGAGGTTCTTCTCGGGATTAATATTCATATACGTCATTATATAGTAAATTTATTGTAGTTTTTTTTTACATAACTTATTCACAACTCCAAGCTGACATTTCCTTGAATTTTACGGGAAATAAATCGTGTCATGGAATTTCAAAATGTTTACATTATTCACATACGTGACTTCAGACGAATCTTAAATTAAAACTAAAGTTAAAAACCTAAGACATTTAACGTTATTATACAGATAAAAAATACAATATTGACCACTCAATAACAGGCATCAGTCGTTTTCTTTTACACCCCCCCCCTCCACAGTAGCCACGACTGCCAGTGCTCTATATATTAGTCATCCTTCATTACTGTTTTTTATTTTATTTCGTAGCTGATTCAAGTCTTAAGATCAGTATGCTTTATCTATATATATATAAAAGGAGAAGTTTGTTTATTTTGTTCGCTATAGGAAAACAAACGGTTGAACTTACAAATATTTAAAATAACTTCATAATAACCAGTTTTTTACAAGAAATTTAATGGTGCTACTTATTTTGTATTTGGTATAGTATTTAATGACGAAATTAACAATTAATGATTATTGCGCCATTTTTTTTTTTGTAATAAACATACACCAAAATATGCACAACAGAAATTAAATGATGAGATCAAAATGTGTTATAACGGCGCGTAGAAAGAACAACAATCAAATGTAATAACACATTTTCATCTCATCATTTAATTTCTGTTGTGCATATATTGTTGTACCGTAGAAAGAACAACAATAAAATGGACCTACAATATTATTGACTATTTGCAAATAGTAACTATGAAGACGAGGTAATAAAATAAAAATCAAGTCGAGAACAACAACAAAATTTTATAAACGAAAATCTCTCGCTGAGCATTGGCTATTAAATTATTTCCCTGTCAATGTTCCCATCTTTATTAAAAGGCATAAGATGACAAAAACAAGATCTTGAAGAATCTATCTGTCTATCTATATACTACTAAAACTCTGAGATTGTTTGTTTGCTTATTTTCTCAGTCA